CCACACCAACGAAAAACAAGATGCTGAGTTAAGGAGATATCTTGAGGAGAATCTCAAGATAGGGCATATCAGACCATCGACATCACCGGCGGGCTACCCAGTCCTATTCGTTCCAAAGAAGGATGGGAAGCTTCGGATGTGTGTGGACTACCGACAGCTGAACGGAGAGACGGTAAAGAACCGGTACCCCTTGCCACTTATCTCGCGGCTTCGAGACCAGTTGGCAGGCGCCCGTTACTTTACTCGCCTCGACCTTCCAACAGCGTACGCCCACATTCGCATCAAGGAAGGGGATGAATGGAAGACAGCGTTTCGCACTCCCTACGGCCATTACGAGTACCTCGTAATGCCCTTCGGATTGACAAACGCACCGGCAACCTTCCAGGCGGTCGTTGATCATGCGATCCGCCCATTCCTCGACCGATTCGCAGTCTGTTACCTAGACGACATCCTCATCTTCTCCAAAACACTCGAGGAACACAAGGAACACGTGAGGGCAGTGCTAAACGCACTCCACGAGCATAAATTGTCAGTCAACAAGGATAAGAGCGAATTCCATGTTACGGAAACAGTGTTTCTCGGATACGAAATTTCGCCTGGCAGAATCAGGATGGAGCCAGCGAAGATCGAAGCGATCAAAACATGGCCACGACCAACAACGACGACAGAGGTGCGAGGATTCATCGGATTCGCCAACTTCTACCGAATGTTCATCAGGAACTTTGGCGACCTTGCACGACCATTGCACGAACTCACGAAGAAAGACATCGAGTTCCGGTGGGAAGCCGAGCACGAACAAGCGTTTCAGAAGATCCGCGACGCAATCATCGCCGATCCAGTGCTCTGGTTGCCAGACCCACGGAAGCCATTTGAGGTCGAAACCGATGCATCAGACTATGCAATCGGAGGACAACTTGGCCAGCGCGATGAACATGGGAAGTTACACCCAGTTGCATTCTTTTCGAAAAAGCTCGAAGGACCACGACTCAACTACCCAATCCACGACAAAGAGTTGCTAGCCATCATCGAAGCCTTTCAAGAATGGAGACCATACCTCAGCGGCACAACCCACGAAGTCCAGGTCTATACAGACCACAAGAACTTGCGGTACTTCACTACCACCAAGGTGTTGAACGGACGACAGACTCGATGGGCAGAATTCCTTTCAGAGTTCAACTTCAAAATCAATTACAAAAAAGGCTCGGAAAACGCACGGGCAGATGCGTTGAGCAGGAGGCCAGATCACTTCAGGAACAGCCAACCAGAAGCCTCGCCACCATTACTTCAACAACAGCCAGACGGTTCCCTACGGCACGCTCCCCAACCGATGGAAGATCTCGATGACGACACGCTTCCACGACAGGACGAAGATCCCGGCACACAACCTCTGCAACCGTTTGAAGAATGCTGCGCAGTCTTCAGGGAAGAACGGCTAGGAAAAGACTTCCAAGACCGGAAGCAGAACGATGCAGACGAGAAGGCAGGCATCTCTTGGAGAGATGGAGCGTTATGGTACAACGGCAAGGCCTACGTCGCACCACAGGATCAAACGGAATTAATCAGGACAATCCACGAGTCAAAACTCGGAGGACACATGGGAATCGCCAAAACAGTCGCCAAGGTTCGGCAACACTACGACTTCCCAGGACTCAGGACCAGAGTCAAGACTGTTGTGCAGGAATGCGACCTCTGCAATAGAAGCAAGTCGGCACGGCACAAACCATACGGGTTCTTGGAACCATTGCCAGTTGCAGAACGACCATGGAGTTCGGTGACGATGGACTTTATCACCAAACTACCGCTTTCGAAAGACTCGACTACCGGAACGAAGTATGACAGCATCCTCACTGTGGTTGATCGACTCACCAAGTGGAGCTACTTCTTCCCATACAAAGAATCATGGTCAGCAGAGCAACTTGCGGATACGATCTATCGGCACATCGCAGCAGTTCATGGGTGGCCGGAAGAATGGATCACAGACCGAGACACCAAATTCGCATCAAAGTTCTGGCAAGCGCTTATGAAGCGTTTGGGCACGAAAAGCAAGCTTTCAACAGCATACCACCCGCAGACAGATGGCCAGACAGAAAGGCTCAACCAGATCGTCGAACAATATCTCAGGACGTTCGTCAACTTCCAGCAAGACGACTGGGTTGATCTATTGCCAGCGGCACAGCTTGCATACAATACAACGCCAACGGAGACAACAAAGGTCACTCCGTTCTTCGCGAACTTTGGTTACGAAGCAGATTTACGCCAGGGACCAGATGTCACGGTACCCAGGGCAAAAATCAAGGCGGAGAAGATGCATGCACTGCATGCAATGCTAAAAGAAGAACTCGAGTTCGTCAGACTCAGGATGAAGGAGTACTACGACAAACATCGGCTCGAGGGACCTCGCCTTGAGAGAGGAGACATGGTCTACCTCATTTCCCGGAATTTGAGAACGAAACGGCCAAGCCAGAAGCTCGACTTCAGGAAGATTGGACCATTCAAAATCGACGCAAGAATCTCGAGATCCAACTATCGACTTTCGCTACCATCAACGATGAAGCTACGCACCAACGTCTTCCATATCTCGCTCCTCGAACCAGCACCCAGGAACGCACGGGTTGCAAAGGACATCGAAGCCGAGGACGAAGAAGAAGAATGGGACGTTGAGGAAATCTTGGACTCGCGAATAGCCAACGGAAGGCTAGAGTACCTAATCAAATGGCTCGACTTCGGACCAGAAGACAATTCATGGGAACCAGCAGAACACCTCAACTGCACGGAAAAACTAAAGGAGTTCCACCGACAGAACCCAGACCGACCAGGAGGGAAGCACAAAAATCTCCGGCCGGGTCGCGTCACCCCGCGGTAACGCGACCCATGTGGAGAAGAAGCCCAGATGGGATTCGAACCCATAGTCTCCCAGAAGCATTCACTCGGGTGTGATAACCAAGCTGCACCACTGAGCCATTTCATTTGTCGGGAAACAGGCAACAAGAATCGGGGTAAGAACCCCAGGAAGGAAAAGAACGGCTGCAGGCAGCCACACTATAACACGACACGCACGGCAGGCACAACCAAGACCTGGCCACCATCAAGAACCACCGCCACCTTGGGAAGACGTCGTTTCACCAGAGGAACCCTGCTCGGATAAGAACGACGGACCACCGCCAACCAACCCAAAATCCACCATCAGAGAAGGCTCCAAGGAAACGTTAGGATATACCGAGTCCCACAACGGCATAAAGCTTGGCGACAATCGAGGAGGGGTTGACGAAGTAGGAGGGGCAGAAGCCGACTCCGCCGCTGCCAGCGCCTCCGCTTCCTCACGCTCTACCCGCTCCAGTTCTTCCACGGTATCGATACCACGAGAGATGGCCCGCGTCATCTTCTCAAACCACATTCGTTTCTGAAGACGCAGGCGATTGATCTTTGCATCAAGGGCCGCGCGCTCGGCCTCCGCCTTTTCCATCTCGGATTCCAACTTATCATGTTGGGAAACGATGCGCTGGAGTTGCTGTACAGTAACGCCTTGCGCATCGCAGAAAGACTGATGACTGCGAACGCACTCGTAGCAGGCGGAGGATGCGTCGGCGGAAGACTTGCAATCAAGGCCGCGAGCCTTGCAGTATGAGCAAGGACTCTTCGCCATGGTCGCAGTACGAAGAATGATGGATAAAAGGTCGCTGCGTTCGGCAAGTTTGACTTTGGATTCCGGTTTCGCTCTCGATTTCGTTTTCTTCACGCGACCAGACATCTTGTCAGCATTTCTTAAGGAAGAAGAAGGAGGAACAACATGACATACCTGCAACGTGGGATGTTGGCACTATTTGAAACGGACTTGGGCTTTCGGGACGAACAGCCCTGGAGAGGGGGCATCGTGTCATGAACTAACCTGCAGAGGCCGGTGGGGGCCGACCTGCATGGTCAACGGGCGGCGCCCGTACCCAATCATTACGAGGAAGAAGGAACCAATGAGGATTAGGGAAATCAGGAACAATGCCAAGAACGATTGTTCCTGGGGAACAACGCCAAGGAACGTTGTTCCAGATGGAACAATGGGAACGACAATTGTTCCAAATGTTCCAGAGATCTAGGTACGGGATACCTAGGGGAGGAAGCTGTATATAGTTCTACCATTCTGCCTCTCATTCAGATAGCTAGCTTCCTCAGTGAGCAATTACAAGCAGTAAAGTAGCCCTACATTACTGTGCAGACATTGCGACTTGCATTGTTGTGAACCTTTTGGCTTCACCGAGACCTACAGTCCGACCAGCAGATACCTTCGACCGGCGAACCCTTTCAGAGGCAGGACTGCCTGTGGTTTCGTCACAAACCAGCCGGAAAACTTTAGCTCTTCGGACCTACTTGAGCTCTACATCTAGGCGGCCAAGCTCATAGTCGCCCGGTACGGCAAACCAGAGACCGCGAAGCGGAACCATATCCGACGGAAAGTACGGGCTGATATTACCATAAAGGAGTCTCCCGGGCCTAAATATATATACCTTCGACTTTACTCTTTATCTTGACCTAAATATAACTTTTCTAGATATATCTACACTGGTAATAGCTCGTATATAGCATTGCCTATGCTGGCGCTAGAGCTATATATATAGGAACTGACGAGTTGATGGACGGTCGCGTTAGTTCTCTATATTAGTGACTAATTACCTATACTATTGTATACCAGAAGGCTCTAAAAGAGGAGAAATAGTTATATACTATAATTACGCCGCCTCCCAAACCCCTAATATATTATACTATAATGGAACTATATAGACAGTTCAATATACTACTTCACTGAGTTGAGCAGCTCGACGATGGTATGGTGCCCGTTCTAGGCGGCCTACAATAGCGGCGTCTGGCCATATATATTATCTCTCGCGTCGAGATCGACCTTACCCGTGCCGAGCAGCAACTGGACGACGGCCTCGTGCCCGTTCCTGGCTGCCCACGATAGCAGTGTCTGGCCGTATCCGTTATCTCTCGCATTGATATCGACCTTGCCTATGCCAAGCAGTAACTGGACGACAGCCTCGTGTCCGTTCCTGGCTGCCTATAATAGCGGTGTCTGGCCGGATCCGTTATCTCTTGTATCGACATCGACCTTGCCCGTGCCGAGTAGCAACTGGACGACGGCCTTATGCCCGTTCTCGATGGCCTATAATAGCGGCGTCCGGCTATATATGTTATCTCTTGTATCGAGATCGACCTTGCCCGTGCCAAGCAGCAACTATACGATGGCCTTATGCCTGTCCCTGGCTGCCCATAATAGCGGCGTCTGGCCATTGCTATCTTTCGCATCGACATTGACCTTGCCTATGCCAAGCAGCAACTGGACAATAGCCTCGCGCCCGTTCCCGGCGGCATACGATAGCGGCGTCCGGCCATTGCTATCTTTCGTATCGACATCGACCTTGCCTGTGCCGAGCAGCAACCGGACGACAGCCTCGCGCCTGTTCCCAGCGGCATACGATAGCGGGGTCCGGCTGTATATGTTGTCTCTTGTGTCGACATCGACCTTGCCCATGCCAAGCAGCAACTGGGCGATAGCCTCGTGTCCGTTCCTAGCGGCCTATAACAGCAGGGTCCGGCCTTCCTTATCCGTGGAATCGACTTGGGCTCTATACTCGAGGAGAAGCTCTATAACATTGCGCTTGCCGTTCTCTACGGCATAGGACAATGATATCCTCTCCTTGATACCCTTCAAGTCTATATCAGCTCCCTTATCGAGCAGTAGCGCTATTATATTCTATTTGTCCTTCTTCGCGGCATTCAAGAGTAATAACCTTCTATCAATATCCTTCTAGTCTATATTAATACCATTGTCAAGCAGTAGTTCCTTTATATCCCGCTAGTCTAGGCCCTTCCTTAATAGTAGTCTTAGGATCTTGAATATTAGAAATGGCCGGGCCGTTTAAAGGCTGTTATAGCTATTGTACTTGGATAGCACCTGCTCTAGTAAGGTTGAAGCTTAAAGATATGCCTCTATAAGGACAAGTAGCCTGTCGTTTTTTGTTTTGAGTAGATATTCGCAGATGTTATTGGATATGACCAACTCCGAGATCACTAGAGATTCGTCAAGATGCCGTGCTCTAATACTGTCTGCTATAGCTATGAACTAATCCCTCCGAATAAATACCCTGAGTGCATCCTTAAGCTCAACTATAGGTAGAAGGAGGTCTTAGATCTTCCACGCCTCCTAGTACAGGCCGAGGCCCTTTAACCTTATATACCAATTGTAAAATCTGAGCTACCGTAGGGTTTTAGGAGACGTCTAGGGCGGGTTATAATACTTGTCGTCCCCTATTAGCAACTTCAAGTTGAAGGTGGCTACGGTAACTCCCAGATAGAGTTCGATCGTATAAATGCGGATAGCATTGGGTGCTTCTACCTAGTCCCTTATTCCAACGTATGTTTTCTTAAGATAGCCCTAGCACTTAGTAATATACTCTATACCGCTATCGGGCAGTATACGGTTCTATCGTAGATCGGCGAGAACTCGGGTTAAGGTGAAAAGTCGGCGGATATTAGAGAGATCGGCAGGGCCGTATACAGTCAGGGTGCTATAATTAATGCTATCGAGCAGACAAACAAGATCGTAGTATCGGCACCCCTATAGAAGCATGTCTATATATTCTACTAGGACTGGGAATATATTATGTTCTTTGAGACATTCTTAATACCATTATATAGCCTCTATATACAGACCGAGATAGGCAAGCCGCACGAAGTGTCCGAACTCTATAGTAATATCCTCTTCTAGTTCTATATCGCGGAAAATAGACTCGTTGGTAATGTTAAGCTCGGGAGGAGCCCCTATATTTTATCGCCTAATCGATTTGAGCCTTTAGGGGCTCGACTTGGGAAGGGTCGCGCTTAATACCAGTGACCGGGAAACGGCTGGAATTTCTAGAAAGGCATCCGGATAGGAGAGGTCATTTCGGAGACCACTGGCAGCTTTTTCGCAAAGAAGGTAGGCAGGACTACCCGGCCCTTAGAAGAGGGGGCAGTAAAAAAGAAATAACTTAGTTGCCATCGGGTAAGCTAATGCTACTATATATATATATACAGCCCCCGGCGTTTTTTTTTTCTTGACTTCCGATTCGACAGGCTCAATGCTATACAACCCCAACTGTCATACCAAGCTAGGGTACTATATATCCAGCAACCAAAGCAGACTCAACTGCTATGAGGGGTCTCCCCTATACCTTCGACCAGAAGTGTGGTGTTTGTAACAAGCTGAATAGGCAGCCAGCTAAGTGCCTAGTGGCAGTGCACCTCAAGTGATCGAAGCCCCTCTCGCTTAACCTAGACTATATACGCCGCGATAAAAGGAGAACTCGTGGACCAAGAAGTAGGATTAGATCGATAAGCTTAAACTCTTTGTCTGCTGATATATTACTCACCCTGTGACCTTCCAAGACCACACTTCCTATGGCAGTCATCACCATCTCGTTTGTATATATGTGAAGTACATACATACATGCAAGGTATGGAGTGATTCTGACCAATCTGGTCAAATAGATCAAGCTGCATGTATCCTTAGCTGGCTTGCTAATTATATGCTGGAATATAGCTTCCAATTGAGTTGACTATATATATGTACATGTACTATACTAGGCAGCTATAGAATATTTGGACGCTATCCGCTTTCCTTATACCTTCGCGAAGATAACTTCTTCGCTAAGAGGAAAACCGGGGGGGTAATAGTCAGCTGCTACTACAAGCGCTCCTCCTGCTGGGGTATCCTTACTTGGCCCAGGTACTACGAACCGTATAAGAGGTCCGGGTGTCCTATATGGCTATTGGAAATAGAATTCAAGATTAAGCAGACCTCGGGAAGGATTAACTACGCGGCATTCAGTCTAGAATTCGACTCGGAGAGTCAGCCCAACCCTACCTAGCAGGGCCGGTATGGCGCTCTAGTGACCGAGTTTTACAAACCATCTAGTGATTAAGGCCCCCTAACCTAAAGGGAAGTTAGGCAAGAAACCGCTGCCCAGCCGGAAATAACAACATTGGCAGAGGTAGTCAAGGTCAGGCACCTGATTCACGAGACTAAAGAAACAATCACCGACCGTTGGCTCCTAGCTACTATAAGGTCGTCTAGCACTCGTGCTTAAGATCGACTTCCTAGACGTATAAGGTAGACAGTCAAGGAGAGCAAAAGCGTAGCTAAGCCTGGGCTACTCTTCTAGGACCTTGCGATGGTCGTATAACACGATGGGGAGCCGTTCCTACTTTACCCGAATATCTCCCTCTAGCTATAGGGCATTCGCAAGATATGGACTTTCCAACCTAGACCTAGAGACTTGGCAACAAGGAGAATAACACTAATAAGAATGGAGCCCGAGATTGAGTTGAATAAGGATGCCGTACAGCTACTTGACATCCTGCCAGAGAGACTGGCTATAGATATATAGATCATACCACTAACAACGTTGATAGATCAAGCGTTCAACCAAGCCCAAGACGCCCTACGCGAGTTATCGTCGCCGGACCTAGAGACTCAGACAACGGCCATAGCCGCAATACCGTTCACATTCTCAGCACTCACTACCCATCCTGCGGCTCCATCAACCATGCTCCCTGCACCTCAACCTAGCTCGCTCCTAGTAAACGAGCCTAGTATATTGCCCGTATATGGGCCAATGGCAGTGCCGCCATTGCCCATAGTGCCATCCACCCAGCCGATGGCCTCATTGCACACGTAATATTAAGGACTGGAACTCGAACCAGGTTGCCGGGTTAGGACGCTATACAACGAACTAAGTCGTTAGAGAGCAGGAGGCTTTAAAAGAGGGAATAATGCTGCCAGTATCAGGAAAGTCGATGGGCCGTGTAGCTTATGGGCATTATAGGTTGTATGGTAATTAGGTATAATGCAGGTTATAATCGCTCGAGAGGTCGGCTTTGGATGGGATCTTATATATGTAGGTCGTGCAGTTGGCGGGGTTTAAGGCTGGCAGGTTCAAGGAATGCGGTTTCCAACTTGACTACCTATCTAGGTAGTGAAGTATAGCTATAATACTAAGCCGTCGAATGGTCTGGTCGAGATATATCTTTCTGGACAGAGACTTAGTACATCGGACCGGTATAAAGACTGGCCTTATTGCCATCCATGAAAGTATCCCAGGTCGCCTCTGCTCGTCAGCTCAGAGTGCTTGGAAAGCGGGAGAGTAGGTAAGGACGAACCCAGTCAAAATTAGCACCAGATAGGTCCTTGTCAAAAGAAAACGCCTAATCCTGTTCTTCAAACAGCGGGCTAGAAAGACTTACATCGGTCTCTAATAACACCGCTGGCGGAGCTCTCGATTCCCCAGTCCTGGAGCGAAACCCCGCCACCATGCCCACCAAGAGCTGGTATACCCTCCCGGCCTCATTCATACGCGCCCTTCGCCTGCTCAAGAGACCACACGCCTGCTCCAACGCCTGCAGGAGCACGCCGCTATCCGGCCTGGGGTCGACTCGGACTCGCCCGCTTCCGGCCCGGGCACCTTACGCCTCTGCTCGAGCTCCAGAAGCCGCACCATGGCTGCCAGCGTCGTCATCTGCCGGGTCTGCCACACCCGGTAGAAGGCCGGCTATAACGCGCGCTGCATGTCGAGCAGCGCCAGCGCCGAGCCCAGGCACCGGTCGTGCGAGAAGGCCAGGAGCGGGTCGGCGCGCGCGTGCGCCAGGAACTTGCGGTGCAGCGTGTACACCCTGTTGGGGTACATGCCGAGCTGGCCGATGCTGGTAAGGTCGGGCGCAAGCCTTCACCCGGTATCTTCCAGGGGCTCGCCTTCCCTATTGCCTCTACAGCTTCGGCTGGTGCCACTGCCTGCTGGAACTCAAAAACCAGGTTCCCAGTTGTCAATGAAGACTTGGTCCTACACGACGGTAAGGTTAGCCGGGGGGCTTAGGAACAAACTCTCGGCTAGAGCCTCGGCTTTCTGGCCATAGTCCGCAGCCACAACCCGTCCAGTCGGATCCTTGAATGCTAGTAGTATCGGGGTTCCGGTGGTAGGAAGCTCCGTAGCCTAGCCCACTTTTCGAAGTTCCACATCTTGTCTGGCTTTTTCACCTCGCCGCCGCTTGGAGGCCGCTCCTCCAGGCCCACGTTCGTGCCTCGTGGGTTATTCTGGCAAGCTCCTTGAGCCTCTCATTGAGTTCCTCCAGTAGTAGTCTGCGCGGGCCACCTTGGCCAGTCTTTCGGCTCTCCTTGCCTCCCGAGCGGCTTGTTCCACCTCCATAGTCCACCAGCGAGAGCTGTAGCCGCAGTTCACCTTCTTCCGGAAAGTGCTTTTCTCGGCGACCCAGCTTAGCCAGGGGACCAGGCCTTTGCTGAGGCTCTCCGTGGTCCAGATCCTGGCCACCAGCCCGTTCGGGCCCAGGTCTGTGAGCCCGACAGCCTTGTAAAGCAGCCTCGACTCGGCTTCCACCCTTTTCTTATCCATCTTCTTCCAGGCCCACCCGGCTGGCTGGGCTGGCCTCGGTCTGTCCCGCTCTCCTATCTCGAGCACCTGTAGGTAGTGATCTGACTTGCCGCGGCACCTCTCTCCGTAGGATACTGCTTGGAGGTCTTTCGAAGTCCAGAAGTGGTCGATGGTTGACGTGCGGCCTCGTTGTCGTCCCGTGGGGGGCACCAATGGCCTCCCAGTCTATTACCCCTATAGTACCCAAGTCCTATACCTGCCCGACCAAAGTCTGTTCATCCGATATCGGGACCATACTATCCTCCTTATCCAAACCTTGCATGCCACGGCGAAGCAGTTCGGACCCCCGCTCCTTGATAAAGCGACGTTAGCGATATATTCGGTTCAGCCGTAATAATAACACCGCAAGCTAATCCTTAATCTCGGCAATCTTAGAGTCTATTCGTTTATGCTCGGATATATTACTTAACCCTTCCCGGTGAACAAACATCGGGGGCCGCCCACGCGGGCGGCCGGGCATCGCAAAAATCGGGAATTAGGTCCTTTGCGATCTATTCTTTCGATTCCAAGGGGTTGCAGCGACGCGCAGCTTCTACGCGGCCGTGTGGCTGTCGGATTGCTGGTTTTCGCGACAAGAAAGTGAGGATTTCCGAGTGCACCGAAAATCCCGCACTACCCCGCACGACGACCACCATTGACGACAACCACGACAATCTACCTGCAACAAGTTTACAAGACTAGGGGGATACTAGGTACGAAAACCACCCGACTCTTTCGACGTTTTGAAGAAGAGATAGGGCACCCCCGGCCCTGCCCGGTTCTAAGGGCGCCCACGACGAACGCTAGAGGGCTAGTCGTACGGCGACGAGGATACGGAGCGAAAGCCGGCATCGCCGACCGATCGTACGACTAACTATAAGAGCAGGAGAGAGAGGGAATACGGGCTCGTTAAGGGAGGTAATACGGGCGGCCGGGCCCTCTTGCGAGGTACTTCGCCCTTTGCAATACTATAGTTGGATCTGAGGATAGGAGGCGAGGCAGGTGGATCAGGGCAGGTTAGTAGCAGAGCGACCGAGCGAGCTACGCTGGTGTGGCAGCTTGTATAATGGCCTACTGCAAGATACGGTCGGCCTTATAAGGGAGACCTAGCAAGGCAATAGGAAGCTAGAAGTCAGGGTTACGCCTAGCGGAAGGTGGGCTATGGCGGCTATACTAGACCGAGAGGAGGATGATAGAGGTATAGCCCTAGCTCATACCTAGGCTATAGGAGAGATATAGCTATTCCCTCGGCGAGGGACCCGTAGGAATATCGTATACGGCGGGGAGTGTATTCCTTTAGCCAGAGGCATACAATAGGGGAGGAAACCGCCGATAGGACATACTAGAGAGTACTATAGCTGGAGATCAAATGTATAGTATCGCCGCTATAAGGAACTCATAGCTCTAAAGGAGTAGTATAGCCGGCCGGAGAGGACGGACGCGCGTGTCGGTCATTCAAGAGGGAGGAAGTATTATACCTCTTATAGAGGGCTTAAGGTGCAAACCTTGGAGTCCCGTAGCCTAGTATTATTATACTTGGTCCGGTAGAGAGGTTTAGCCTTGCCTCTCTGATTAGATTACCTCTATAAGGCAGATCTTCGCGATTACGCTTAGGTAGCATGTTTGTAGAGTGATAATCTAAGGACTTCAAGGCCAAGGGGCTTGCAATAGGCTCCAATGAAGGTTCCGGAGGCTACGGGGCCGGCCCCGGAGCCCAGGAAAGCCAACAGACGTCGAAAAGGCCTCGGCTGTAGTGGCCGAATGGAACGCTGTCACGAATTAAGCCAACAGGACAGCTGCAGGTGGGACAACCCGACGGGTGGCGCAGGGCGCACCCGAACCAATCATTTAGGACCAATAAGAAGGAGCTCTAAGGTGCTCTAGAGAGCAGACGAGAGCTTCAGGAGCTAAGCCAATCAACGCGAGGAAATGGAAGCTCTCGATGGAGTCAACAGAGCACCGAGCTCTAGGGAGCTCTACAGAGCACATGAGAGCACCCAAAGATAGACAGTATATAGTCACTCGTTCTGGAGGACTCTGGAAGTTCTCCAGTGAGCAATACAAGCAGTAAGGTAGCCCTACATTACTGTGCAGACATTGCGACTTGCATTGTTGTGAACCTTTTGGCTTCACCGAGACCTATAGTCCAACCAGCAGATACCTTCGACCGGCGAACCCTTTCAGAGGCAGGACTGCCTGTGGTTTCGTCACAAACGCCCAGGCTAAAGCCTTGGGCCCACCATTAGCCAAGACCCAGGATGACTGGGCATTATTAAGAGCTTGGGAGGCCAGGTGGAAAACCCAGGTCCAGGGACAGCCAACCAGGCTAGCCGACGAAGGCCTACCAACAGTCCTCTTCACAAACCAAGGCCTACGGAAACACCAAGGCCTTATAAAGGCCAAGAGCTCCCTACTAGTACAGGCCCGTACGGAGGCTATAGGCCTACGGGACTTTCTTTTTAAACAAAAGGCCCGTAACCAGCTTACCCCCTATTGCGAATGCGGGGAAGGCCGGGAGACAGTGGAGCACCTAGTGGTTTGGTGCTCTATACCACCTATACCAAGAACTTGGCCTAGGCAACTAATACGCACCCACCGGGACCTTAGCCTTATTTTACAGAGCCTAGGCTACCGGAACCGAAGACTTCTGAAGAAGGTACTGGGTTAGCTAATGGACTCGGGCCGGCTAGGGGAATACAGGCTCGCCCAGAACCTAGATTAGGAACTGGAAGCCAGGGAGCCCGGCTAGCCACACCCATGGCCACGGCTTAGCTGGGCTAGCACCCTACTAGCCGTTGGCTCAAGGCCTTCCCAAGGCCTTTTTCTTTACTTGCAGCAGCGTGTATCACTGGAACCATGTCTTTCCTATTATTTTTGATGAAGGTTTTCACCCGGCCTAAACGGTACGGTTTTTCCTTTGTATATAGCAGTAGAGGGTCTGGCGCGCCTTGTAAATAGCTAGGCATAGCGGAGTAGGAGAATATATATATATAGTAACCCGGTAGGGCGGACAAGGGTATGTCTGTAGCCAATCATTATATATAGGGATATATAAGAGCGCTCGCAGCTCTGATAAGCATATATAGGAGCGCCCGCTCACCTGGTGAGCGGATGAGCAGGATAACCTAGGCTTACTGGCGAGCTATGGTAAGCGGACCAAGACCAGCTAGTATATAGTCATTCGTTCTGGAGGACTCTGGGAGTTCTCTAGTGAGCAATACAAGCAATAGCCTCTACCTATTGTACAGACATTGCGGCAAGCATTGTTGTGAACCTTTTGGCTTTACCGAGACCTACAGTCTGACCAGCAGTTACCTTCGACCGGCGAATCCTTTCAGAAGCAGGACTGCCTGTGGTTTCGTCATAAACAGGCGCCTGCCAACTGGTCTCGAAGCCGTAAGATAAGTGGCAAGGGGTACCGGTTCTTTACTGTCTCTTTGTTCAGCTATCGGTAGTCTATATATATCCGAAGCTTCCTATCCTTTTTTGGAATAAACAGGACTAGGTAGCCTACTAGTAAATATCGATAGTCTAATATACTCTATCTTGAGATTCTCCTTAAGATATCTCCTTAACTCGGTATCTTGCTTTTTATTGGTATAGTATACCTTAAAGAACTTCAACTAGGCTCCTTCCTTGAGTTTGATTTCGTAATCCCAAGGTCCATAGTCTAGTAGCCCCTTAAGATACTTTGCTTCGAATGCCGGGTATCTATAGTATTCTACTAGGATCTTGCCCATTTCTACGTTCTTCTCTATACTCCGGTAGTACAAGAACTTATCTCTAGCTATAATACTGGCCGCTTCCTTCTAGGTGACCCAATCCTAAAGTTCGAATTCTCCGGTCTTATTAATTAAGATAATAGCGATTTCGATATCGTCTATGTTTTTCTAAGCTATATAAGGGTGTCGTTATAAGTGGCGTTATCTCTAGCCTAGTCTTGCCGATTTTTACTGTTCTTCCTAGTAATTGCTACCTCTTTCTAAATCTATAGTACACTGCCTAGCACTGTCTGTCTTTTGCAGTAGATCTATAGGGGCCGCCTCCCGGGGCGATCTTCTCTATTGCAATCCGTCGTCTGCGCTTCCTATCTCGTTAGTCAGATACAGCCTCTATTCTCGAGGTCGTAGGTAGCTATCTCCCTTCCAACTAATGTCTAGGTTATAAGTTTAATACTATAGGCGTCCTAAGATCATATTCTTCTTAGGCCCTATTTTAACAATATCAAATACCACTTTGGTGGTTTTCCCTTCTACTATGATTTTAAGTGGTTCCGTTTCCTATCAGACCTATTAGGTGTCGAATAGTCCTTTAACGATATATTGTTTCTTCTTAATCCTCTATAGGATCCTAAATCGATTGACAAATGCTGGCGAGATAAGGTCGACCTAAGATCCTCCATCTGCCAATACCAATATTTAGAATCCTTTCCAATACGCTATAACCTAGATTCTATCATCGAGTTTATTATCCTAAATCGCAGCGGCTTCTTTCTCGCTCGCTAGGAGGTCGTAGATCCTTTTCCTTGCATGGTCTTCCTATAGCTATAGATCTATCGTCATTGCGATAGATTTAGTAGTTTCCGGGCCCCTTAGAGGGCCCTAAGCCGTTTCCTAACTCCGTCTAGGCATCTAGATAGGCATCCCTATCCTCCTATACCTTTTGGTTACCGTCCTATAGTCCAAGTCTTAGGAGTTCCTTAAGCAATTGTCGAACTTTGTTAGCTCTTTTTTCTTCCTATTGCCGTTTGTAAGACGTCATCCATCTTCGTATATATATCTTGTGTTTATAATGTTCTTAGAGCTTCGCTTATATATAGATTAAGCAATCCTAGCTTTTGCACTACCTAATACCATTAGGCCACCACTGGCAGTCCTCTAACTAGGTTCTTTGTAGTGTTACCCTAATTCTATTGTATGCGCTAGTCCTCTCGACCTTCTATAGGAACTAGTCGGCGCTAGTTCCTACGTCCTAAACCTATAGAACTAGTCGAGGTTCTCCGCTTCGGTCGGTAGGCCTATCGAGCCAAAAGTCGTTATCGAATTTTAACTAGAAATAGTATCGATATTCATATGCGA